GGAGGCTGAGGTGGGAGGACTGCTTGAACTCAGGTGTTCGAGACCAGCCTGAGCAACTTGGCAAAACCCTGTCTCTACCAAAAAAAACAAAACAAAACAAAACAAAATAAGCTAGGCATGGAGACACACGCCCGCAGTCCCGAAGGAATAGAATCCAAAAATAAGCTCTTCTGTATAATTTTTGACAAGGGTGCCACGACCATTCTATAGGAGAGGGACAGTCTTTTCACAAACACTGTTGGGAAAACAACATAAAACTTGCAAAATAATGAAGGTGGACCCTTACCTAACACCATACACAAAATTAGCTCAAAATGGACCAAAGACCTAAAACTAACATGGGGCAAATGCAGTGTTTTCTTAAGTATGACCAGGAATAGGCAACAGAAGAAAGTAATAGACAAACTAGACTTCATCAAAAAACCTTTTTTGCATCAAAAGGTTTTCTGCAAAAGGGTTCTGCAATATAAAAAAGCAACTCACAGAATGAGAAGAAAAAAAAATTGCAAATCATATCTGTTAAGGGGTTAATACCCAGAATACATAGAAAACTCCTAAAATTCAACAATAAGCAACATGATTCAAACAAATGGGCAGGACTTGGAGACATTGATCCAAAGAAGACAGACAAATGGCTAATAAATATGAAAACATGTTCAACATCATTAGGAAAAGACAACCCGAAACTATCAGATACCACTTCACATCCACTGTGATAGCTACTATTATTTAACAAAACAAAATAAACACGCGTCAATGCGGACGAGCTGGAGCCATTGTGCACTGTGGGGAATGGAATGTGATGGCTGCAGTTTCCTGGGAAACAGCAGTTCCACAATAAAAACTATAGGTAGGGTGTCGTGGCTCATTCCTGTAATCCCACCACTTTGGGAAGCCGAGGCGGGCAGATCACTTGAGGTCAGGTGTTTGAGACCAGCCTGGCCAACATGGTGAAAACCCCTCTCTACTAAAAATATGAAAATCAGCCAGCTGTGGTGGTAGGCCCCTGTAATCCCAGCTACTTGGGAGGCTGAGGCAGGAGAATCACTTGACCCTGGGAGGTGGAGGTTATAGTGAGCCGAGATTGTACCACTGCATTACAGCCCAGACAGCAAAGGGAGACTCAAAAAAAAAAAAAAAAAAAAAAAAAAAAAAAAAAAATTGCAGCGATTCCACTTCTGGGTACAAAGAGTGTTTTCAACCCAAAGAGCTGAAAGCAGGGTCTAAAAGATTGTGTATACCAATACTCACATTGGAAGCAGCCCAAGTGCCTGTGTTTTTTAGACTCACTCCTGCCCAGGCTGCAGTGCAGTGATGTGATCTCAGCTCCCTGCAACCTCCACCTCCTGGGTTCAAGTGATTCTCCTGCCTCAGCCTCCCAAGTAGCTGGGATTACAGGTGCCTGCCACCACACCCGGCTAATTTTTGCATTTTTAGTAGAGACCGGGTGTTTCACTATCTTGGCCAGGCTGGTCTTGAACTTCTGACCTCGTGATCCACCCGCCTAGGCTGCTCAAAGTGCTGGGATCACAGGCATAAGCCACCGTGCCCAGCCAGTAATTTTTTTATTTTTGGTAGAGATGGAGTTTCACTATGTTGGCCAGGCTGGTCTCGACCTCAACCTCAGCTGCTCTGCCTGCCTCAGCCTCCCAAAGTGCTGGGATTATAGGTGTGAGCCACTGCACCTGGCCCTAAGTGCCTATTGACAGATGTATCGATAAGCAAAATGTGGAATATACATACACGCAATGGAATATTACTCAGCCTTAAAAAAAAAAAGGAGGGAAATTGACACATTACAAAATGCATAAACCTAAGGACATTAGTCTATGTAAGATAAATCAGTAATAGACAAATCCTGTATGATTTCATTTTTAGGAGGTTCCTAGAGTAGTGAAAATCATAGACAAGTGGTGGGTTCCAGGGACTGGAGGGAGCATGGAACAGGGAGTTAGTGTTTCATGGAGAGAGTTTGTAAGTTTGGCAGAATGGGCTGGGCATGGTGGCTCACTCCTGTAATCCCAGCACTGTGGGAGGCCAAGGTGGGAGGATCGCATCAGGTCAGGAGTTTGAAACCAGCCTGGCCAACATGGTGAAACCCCATCTCTACTCAAAATACAAAAATCAGCTGGGCGTGGTGGCGGGTGCCTGCTACTGGGGAGGCTGAGACAGGAGAATCGCTTGAAGCTGGGAAGAAGTTGCAGTGAACCAAGATCAGGCCACTGCACTCCAGCCTGGACAACAGAGTGAGATTCTGTCTCAAAAATAAAAGTTTCACAAAATGAAGAGTTACAGAGTTAGATTGCGGTGGTTACACATCATGAATAAACTACACTTCAAAGTGGTTAGCAGCCTGGGCAACATAGCAAGACCTCAACTGTACAAAAACTAAAAATGAAAAATTAGCTGGGCATGGAGGTGTACGCCTGTAGTCCCGGCTACTCGGGAGTCTGCGGGAAGGGGAGAGCCCAGGAAATCAAGGCTGCAGGTGAGCCAGGATCACACCACTGCACTTCAGCCTGGATGACAGAGCGAGATCCTGTTTCCAAAAAAAAAAAGTAGTTAATGGTTAGGATGGTAAATTTTCTATGTATCTTACAACATTTAAAAATTTTAAGATGGAAACGCACCAAAAGGACACAAGAGTCACTTTGCCATGTCTTCTGATAGCCAAATGTGAGACAATTTGAACATCAAATAAATGGCTGCAATGGATGGAGACCCACTCACACTAGGAGTCCACTAGTGAATCATGGGGAGGGAGGGCTCCTCCACACAGGGGTGGGGTGTTGGCAGAAGGAACAGTGGGCATGGAGGCTCATCGATGGGTAGTGGTGGTGGATTCAGTTGGGAGCTGTCCACAAAGGACAAGAATGGAGGGTAGAGAGAAACAGGCTGGTCAAGTGCTTTAAAGATGCCTCCCCACACAATAGTCCTTGATTACTAGGAGACAGTGTGGCCCAACAGTGGAGCAATCTGCCTGGGTCACCAAGGTTAAACGGTGTGCCCCTGGCGTGACATACAGAGAAGAGCGCAGCATGATTTCTATGGCTTTCCTGCCACGGAAGTGCTGCTCAGATCTGGTCACCATCAGCCAGGCTGAGGATCTACTACAGAGGTCTGTGGGCTTCAACCCCACTAGGATGTGAAGCACATGAGCCCAGAGGACTGATGCAAACAGCAGAAGAAGCTAAAGGCAGCACACACCTCTCCACAGGGACCCTGGACCAGGAAGGGACAGATACTGCTGGAGCAGCTGGTGAGACCGGCATGGGGTCCACAGCCCGGACGGCAGTGTTCGGTCAGACTTGGAGGAATATCATCTACATTTTGAGGAGTGAGGGCGCCTGAGGAAATGTACACATCATTTCAGTAAAATGCACCTTTTCTCCATGAAATTATTTCTCAAAATAAAATTTTAAAAGAAAGGGCTAGGTGCAGTGACTCACACCTGCAATCCCAGCACTTTGGGAGGCTGAGGTGACAGGGTCGCTTGAGCCCAGTTGGACTAGTCTGGGCAATGTAGTGAGACCCTGTCTCTTAAAAAGAAAATTTATTTTAATTAGCCAGGAATGGTGGCATGTGCCTACAGTCTCAGCTACTCAGGAGACTGAGGTGGGAGGATCACCTGAGCCCAGGTCAAGGCTGCAGTGAGCTGTGATTGTGGCACCACATCCCAGCATGGGTGACAGAGTAGGATCCCGTCTCAAAAAAAAGGTAAAGAATGGCTATATACTACTGGACACAGTGGCTCAGGCCTATAATCTAACTTGGGGAGGTCGAGGCAAGAGGATCACTTGAGGCCACTGCACCCCATCCTGGGCAACAGCAAGATACTCTCTCAAAAAGGGCGGGGGAAAGGCGATCCTGTAGTCTTACCATGCAAAGCTACTAGTGAAACATTTACTAGGCCGAGTACAGTGGCCTAGTAATCCCAGCACTTTGGGGGGCCAAGGCAAGCAGATCACTTGAGGTCAGGAGTTCGAGTCCCGCCTGGCCAACATGGTGAAATCTTGACTCTACTAAAAATACAAAACTTAGCTGGGCATGGTGGCACATGCCTGTAAATCCAGCTACTCGGGAGGCTGAGGCAGGAGAACTGCTTGAACCCACGACGCGGAGGTTGCAGTGATTTGAGATTGCACCACTGCACTCCAGCCTGGGCAACAGCCAGACCTCTCTCTCAAAAAAAAAGAAAAACTTACTACTCTGTTTTTGAACTGTAACTTTTTTACTGTAATATTTTTAAAACTTAATGCTCAATTAATTTGAGTGTATTACCAAAGTTACCTCAGGCCACCTCTTCAATGGAGTACCCAGAATGAGTTTTCATAGTCAAAAACACAGAAGATGGCACTGGCTGGCTTCCAGTGCCATCTCTACCACCAAGTGCACTCCCTGCAAACCAACGTGCACAGTCAGGCCCTGGGCTCAGCTTCTCTAAGAACCTTCGGGCTGGGGGAAGGTCATGACGTGAGCCACAGGTCCAGGAATCCTTTTGTTGTTGTTTTTAAAGACATAAAGATACCTTTCCTCCTTTCACTACTTTTATCCTCAAAACGTTGCATTTCCTTCGGCCCTTAGCATTTTCCATAACCTTCTGATCATTTTCAGTCATTCCAGCAGTCCAACCCATCAGCTGGCTTTATAGTGAAATCTGTATAATCTTCTTCCACTTCTTCTAAAATTAAAAAATGAAAACCAACTAGCCCACCCCTCAACCAGGCTAGAACACATGTCCTCCTCAGTGCTCAGTTACGGTGAGAGATGAGGGTGCCCTGGGGAAGTGACTGGTAGTCTCTCTCAGCTCCTTGGGGTTGTTTGTTTGGGCAGCAATGTCAGTTATGGAAGAGGTGCCAAGTCCCTTCACCCAGGTACCCAACATGCCTCTCAGGGGCAGCCGCGCTTCCTGCAGGGGCTGGCCTGGTCCCCCACGATGAGCTTCCATCCACTTACATCTTCCCTTATTTTTTTAGTTACTGCTCAACAGGACCAAACACTTCATTAGTAGCTGTTTATTGATCAATGGTTTGATATAAAGTTATTTCAGATCTTCAGATTTTTGCCCAGACAGAATCACAAGCATTACAAAGTTTTTTCTTAAAAATAAAAAAAGGGTAGGGGCAAGTTGGGAGGGGACCAAACTAGCAGTCGTGGCATTTGAGAATAAATTAACAAAAAAAATTAGTATTACCATTTATTGGTGACAAACACTAAATTTTACTTACATTCCATGGGGAGAAAAATTCCAGCGTAAACAATGAATGGAAGCGGTACTTATCTCGCAGGGCTACCAGGCTTCCTATACGGACCACACGCAGAGCCTTAGGGCACACACTTCTGTGTACAGTAACATCATCAAAAGCAACACAGCTGTCTAGAGAAACGTAGCTCATTCTTTTCAGCCCTAATGGAGATGTAATGAACAGTATCGAGCACTCTGGAAAATCAGTCTGCAGGTTTATATGGACTACACGGAGATCATATCCTGTAGTGTAGTGAAAGCTAAGTCCTCAAGAGCCGTATGTATAGATACACAATTTTTTAAATTATCTTTAAAACAGAGATCAAAGCTCATTTAAGTCCTGTTTGCATTAACAAAGATAAAAATAAAATAAAAATGGAACCAAATGATCATCTAAAGTTTAAAATTCCTAAATTGTCCAATTTATACAACTGTGGGACACTTATTCAAGGTTTTTCAAAGTCCAGGACTGTTTCAGCTGAACCAGAGGGCACACAATTTGCATGACTGAAATGGTCCTGGGGTTAGTCAATGAAATAAAAATGTCTAACCACATACACATGGATATGATCTTTGTCGGTTAGATTACTGATGAAGTCAGTCTCAGACAAGTTTCCAAACTGTGCTATATAACTAGATACAATTGAGAAACTCTCAAATGAAAATTTTATATAGTGTCATATCAATCAAAAGAAAATAATGAAACTAAGAATACAGATCACTGTTGGAAGAGAAAGCAGTGGTGATGGTGTGGGTAGTGGGGCCATAGCACGCTAGAAAAGTTAGGTCACGCTGAGTAGGAAGCATCTGATTTTCTCTGGTGCTTTTAGCTCTGGGGCCGGTCAAAAGCCTCTCTCTGGCGTGGCTGTCCAGGGTGTGTCCCAATGTGTCTGAGTAAGCCAGCTTGAGAAGGGGTCGTGCTCTCTGTTCTTTCACACAGGAGAAAACAAAGATCAAACATGGAGGTGCCCAGGGCATGGATCTGGTGGTGTCCTGGGAGAGCCAGCAGCTAGAAGCCCTTCTTCCCTACAGGCAGCTGCTATTGCATAGGGACCACCAGGTCACCAAGTGGCCGTCACAACAAACCCCAGCACAGTCCAGCCCGGCCACAGCCACCTCCTCGTGTCTCTGTTGTCTTCCCTGCTGCTGCCCACATCCTTTACCCATCGTGTCTCTCGGCCCACTGGAGGTATCAGAAATTCCAAATTTTCAAAGCAGTTTCAGTATTTTCAGTATATATGTTGGGATTTCATAATGGTTCATGGCCAGAAAAGGTTCAGCACCTCCCACACCTTTAAGGAAGGAAAATGAAAATGACACTTGTTTTGAAATGTAAGAGAATTAAAGTAACATTAAAAATGAAACTGGCAAACATCAGGAAGTCCAATACTAAAAGCCCCAGTTTATGATAACAAAAGTTTTCCCAGGATATGCCAGTAAGTAAAATAAGCAAGGAGGGTGTTATGTATTTGTTACCTCTTCGGGAAAAAGGAAGAAAATGAGGGAAGAAATGTATGTCTATACTGGTGTAAAGAAACATACAGGAAAGACACAGGAGAAACCAGTGAAAATGTGATCGATGGGAGAGGCGCTGGGGGGAACAGAAGGGTGGGATGGGGACTGTCTGAGGGCCAGATTGCACCTTGTAAAATAATGCAGAGTTCAGAGTTCTGACCATGTGAAGGTATGACCTACTCAAAATGTTTTTTAAAAGTAAAGCTGCTCTGCCCAGAGAACCTGGAAACCTTTCAGGCAAAAGGGCCAGAAAGTAACTCAGGCAAATGTTTTCCCGCTGAGTCAGCAGATCGTGTCAACTCAGTGCAAACAAAGAGCAGCCTCCCCATCACCAGCGCCTCCCCCTTCATCAGTGCACTCACACAGACATTGGTCCGTTTCCTGTTCTTGGCATCTCTGTACTCTGTTGGTCCAACTCAGACAGCAACTTTAAGATGTTCAGTGCAGCCTAGTGGGGATGGAAAGAAGAGTAAAGCCACAGCCATCGCTTGGGACCGCCATGTGGTACACTGGACAGGCAGGCAAGAGAGTTCCTGCTGCCCAGCAAACAGGTGGTAACTTCTTCAACTCTGGTACTACTAAATAAAACTTTCCATTTTTAATTTAAAATACAAGTTTTTAAAATATTCACAGTTACCTCACTAGTCATAACCTATGAAAATTTATTTTTCTTTCCAGTATTTTTAACCTTGTGGTAACCAGACTGCACAAATGTTATATCCTGCCAGCAAAAATCTACCGTGTACTTTTCTTTCTATAGAGACAGGGTCTTACTAAGTTGCCCAGGCTGGTCTCAAACTCCTAGGCTCATGCATCCTTCTGCCTTGGCCTCCCAAAGTGCTGGGATTACAGGTGTGGGCCTCCACGCCCAGCCTATCATGTATTTTGCTTATTACATTATCTTTGGAGACATTTTTTTTTTTGAAATGGAGTCTCACCCTGTTGCTCAGGCTGGAGTGGAGTAGCATGATCTTGGCTCACTGCAACCGCCATCTCCCAGGTTCAAGAAATTCTCCTGCCTGCCTCCCAAGTAGCTAGGATTGCAGGTGCCCACCACCACACCTGGCTGATTTTATTTTGTATTTTTAGTTGAGACGGGGTTTCACTACATTGGCCAGGCTGGTCTTGAACTACCGACTTCAGGTGATCTACCCCCCTCAGCCTCCCGCAGTGCTGGAATTATAGAGTGAGCCACCATGTCCAGCCCAGAGACATTAATTTGATGCAAACATGATGTCCCACAAAGTGAATACACCACAGTTTACTTAGATTCGTTCATCTGATCAATTCTTTCTCTCAGTTTTCTGATAACAATAATTTCATCTGAACAGAAGACCAAAGCAAGGGCATTTCACAGCTGCCAGAATGTGGACCTGCAGTTCCTTGTTCTGGTGAGAGATGAAGTGAATGCGGTCTCTGGGTGAGCTGCAGGATCCCAGTTGCCCCTCAGGCCAGCAGGGAACAGGAAGGGAAAGTGAGCTAAAGCTGCCGAGTTCTGATCAGGATTAAGAAATTGATCCAATCAGCTATGACAAAAAGTCTTCAAAAATATGAACACTATCAAACAACCAACTGTTCTCAAGGTCTACAAGAGAATCTTTCTCCTATCTTCCTCAGGCCAGCAGCAAGCTGAACCAAGGAAGGCTCCACATAAACACACAACCTAACACCCCAATCCCTCACCCAGGGTGTGACGCACCATATCATGGCAGGACTCCACATCCTTGCCGATACCATGGCTGATCAGAGGCGGCTGAGAGGAGCAATTGATAAGAGATACAAATTCGTTCTTGTTGTTTTTGGGGAAGTCTTTGTATTCAACCTAAGGGGAAAAAGAGAGCTGAGGCTAGGGTAGGGAACAGTGCATACAAGTGGGTTGGAGGGCTGCAGCTCCAGGCCCGGCCCACAGGCAGGGAGATACCTGGCTCTTCCCAACTCAGCCTAGCTGTGGCCACACCAACACCTGCCCTGTCAGCCCAGAACCTGCCAGGAACCTAGGTGTCTGCTCAGAAGCCCTAGCCTAGGAAACGCCATATCCTTTTCAGGCATCAGCACGATGAGTCTGTTCTTTGAAATCCAAATTTACAACCATTGCCAGTGATAAGAAGTTTTGTTTTTAGGGTTGGCTTGAATTTTGAAGTGTTATTACCAAAGGGTAAGGATGTTTCTCTTACCACATATGCTTACAATACATCTATACCTCCTTCCCTTCTGCCCTTCCACCACTGCTCCCCAACCCATCCCTGGACAGAACTTGATTTAAGAAACAAAGTGCAAAGCTCATTTTCTCAGGAAAGCCAAGAGATGACTGTCCTGAGACACAGCCATCACAGCTCAGGCCTGACAGTTACCTGGAATCCCTGGACTCTGGAAAGATAGTCCAGTTGCTCAGAGGGTCTCGTGAGAGGTCCATGGGGTACGTGGCCTGAAGAGATGTTATTCTTTAAAATGGTCTCGGCTGTGGGCGATGTGCCCCCATACAACAACTCTCGGGCTATCATGGCAGTTACCGTGGCCTTGGCAGGATTCGGAGCTGCCCTGGTAAAATCTTTGGTGTGATGTCCTTGACTAACTCCTACAGCCTGAGCGACCTCCGGCACCATGGGAAGAATTCCAGCAGGCAGCTGCTGGTGACTTAGATAAGGCATCCTGAACTCATCCTCTTTATTACCTGGGAGGGACACACATAGTAAACACGAATCCACATCCACAGCCTGGAAAAACACGATGATGCCGTCAAACCCCACGCTGGCCCTCCCGTTGGCACGCACAGGGATCGGGGAATGATGCGGACACTCTGCATGCGGGAACTCACTGGCTGGGCTCCTGCTATTATTCAGGATCCATGTAAATCCCAGAATCACATTTAGATAAAGACAATATTAAGATCACACTTACTAGTCCCATTTTCATCCCCAGAGCCAGGTTCAAAAAAGGTTACTTTTCTTCCATCTCCTGGTTTCTTTATGGGCGTCTTAAAAAAAAAAGCCATGAGCAGAAGTCAGATCATTGAAAAATTAGCTCCTGCCATCTACATCTACACAAAGCCCAACCAGCAGTAACTGAGGCAATCAGCAGAAAAATCCTGCCCCACCTGACCACTGGCACCCTGACAGACACCTGGCAGAGCCCATCGCCTCATCCTAATGCACCCTCCTGCCCACACCCCTGCCCACAAAGTGCACTAACCATGAATGCTAAGCTGCGCTCTGCACCCACAGGGAGACGGGAAGCACTGAACCAAAAAGAGCAGAGATGCTAGATGGCAGAGCCCCCCAAGGTGGGGAAAGCAGCTTTCAGACTGAAGCTGAACAAACAAATCGAGACTATTTCCTGGAGCTGATATTCAATTCAAAAGTAAGGTGACATTCCAAAATTAACACCCTTATGGGGAAAATGTTATTACCTAAGAATTTTCTCAAAACATCACCTTTCTGAGAAATAACAGAAGACATTATGAATGTCCTGACAAAATTCTGAAATGAAAAACCCAAAAGCTAAGCCTAAGCTCTGCACTGGCAGTATCTGGGGCCCCAATCAGTTATTAACGACGTGGCCATGGCTGACGCTGTTTCTCACTGTCGATAAGACTGGCAGACAGGAATGAATCAGTTTTATAAATGATCTCAAGTTTATCTCATTAGGACCATTTAGTGACACGAAACAAGAAGGTCAGCCAAGGCTTTTGCTGAGGTCCTGCTTACCACTTCTGGCAGACACAAATTCTTTTTAACTTTCCTTTTTTTTGAGACAGGGTCTGTTGCCCAAGCTGGAGTGCAGTGGTGTGATCATGGCTCACTGCAAACTTGACCTCCCAGGGCTCAAGTGATCCTCCTACCTCAGCCTTGTAGCTCGGACTACAGGCACAAGCCAACACACCTGGCTGATTTTTAAATTTTTTTGTAAAGACAGAGTTTCATCATGTTGCCCAGACTGGTCCTGAACTCCTGGATTCAAGGTCTTGGCCTCCCAAAGTGCTGAGATTACAGGTAGGAGCCATCACACCTGGCCGTGAATTTTTCAACAGGGGTTTATTTTCATCTGATGTTCAACTCACATAGGAAAAAAGAAATCCCAAACCTAAACTTTGGATCTGACTTGTCTCTACTGTCACACTGTCATTTTCCCAGAAAAAAACAAAGCCTGTTCCGCAATTAACAAAAGCCTTTAACAAAAGCCTAACAGTTATAAATCTTTCACACAGGCTTCATTTCTAGAGTGGAAATCACACTTAGTAATTTCAAGCCTAATTACCCCTCATCCTACAAATGGAGAGGAGCAAGCAGCCCTCCACAAAGCATCCCCAGACCACGAAGATGCCGACACGATCATGATCTAACCCAGACCCGCCTGGGGCCAAGTGGACATGTGAGGCCCCTGTGAGCACATTATGGTCCAAACGGATGACACATCGCTCAGCAGGACTGCTTTAACTGCCAGGAGGATGAAGCCTTGCCTTGAAGCCTGCCCCTGGAGGCGTCCCAGTTCCCTAGGGTGAGGCAAGAGACCACCTTGCAATGAGAGAGACCACAGCAGTCACCTTCTCCTCTGACTTGAGTGCTGGCTTGGTGGGCTGCGCCTGCGGAACTTTGAAACCAAGGATCTCCAGCATGTTCTCGGCTGCATTGCGCTTGGCCACCTTCTTGTTGGTGCCTGTTCCTTCTGCAGTGTGGTTTCCAACCTTTACCTGCACAAAGAAGTTAAAACACAGACCAGTGCTTAAACCTTCGGAATAACAACCAGGCAGGAATTGGTGTGTTGCAAAATAACCCCAACAATGGTCAGAAGTGAGATAACAGTGGTGCCCTGAACCTGGCCTGCTTGTCTGTGAGAGCTAATTATTAAATAGGAGTTTGGAAAGCTGGCTGTTAAAACATAGCCAGTATTAAACATTTAATTATATAAGCTTATAATTAAACTATTTTAACAGAAGTAATTTTTGACTGCATTTTATAATTATCTGTGTTCTGAAGGTCTGTCCAGCTTTGCATTTGTATGATCAAACAGTCTGTGATAGTGACTTACTGCACATCTCTTGCCAGCATTACAATCGGAAGTATCACTTTGACAGCTTGAAATCAGCCATGGTAGGACTATTTATACCACAGAAATCTACAAATGCTACGCATGAAAAGATTAAGTTGTTTATTGATTGTCTAAGTTTAAACTTACAATGATGAAGAAAAGGTTAATATAGCAGATTAAACTTACAAGCAGGAGAAGTTTGCAGCCACTACACTGTAACTAGTACGAAAAAGTGAAATATCTTCCAGTCTTTGAAAATTATTATCCAATTTAGCAGAGAAGCCACTCATGTAATTTACAAATGAGTGATGTTACATGTCTTCATTGTTTTACTTTCTTTTTGTGGGGTGGGGAATAGAATCTCACTTCATCACACAGGCTAGAGTGCAGTGACATGATCTCGGCTCACTGCAACCTCAGCTTCCCAGATTCAAGCGACTCTCCTGCCTCAGCCACTGAAGTAGCTGGGATTACTGGCGTGTGCCACCATTCCTAGCTAACTTTTGTATTTTTAGTAGACAACAGGTTTCACCATGTTGGCCTGGCCGGTCTCAAACCCCTGACCTCAAATGATCTGCCCGCCTCGGCCTCCCAAAATGCTGGGATTACGGGCATGAGCCACCATGCCCAGCCTGTTTTACTTTCATCTTACCTGTTAACGTAAATAAAAAATATCAACCAATATTCATGCTAGAACCAAAATCTCAAACCTAAAGTATGGATTTGTCAATGACATGAGCAACACATCTGCTGAACTGGATAGTAATAGAAAATTATGTGCTGTATGATTTTATAACACTATTGTTGGTGACTGTCACACTGAAATATGTACAAAATTTACAATAAAGTGTGTATTATTTATAAATTGTGCTATATATCCTGTCAGTAAAATTTATAACACACATGTATATAACACACGTGTGTGTGTGTGTGTAAAACACACATGTACTCAGCTCCTCCCATCAAACCACCCTCCCCAAAGACGTGGTCGTTAAACATGTTCCAGCACATCCCTGTTTACAAGCCCCTTCCAAGTGGATCATGATCACAGGCACCTGGCTGCTAAAACCAAAAGCCCAGGTAACAAGACTAAGAGAGTCGAGGAAACCATTCCCTGGCCTGGGTCTAAATTCCAATCTGGCCATCTACCAGCCATTTCTTCTTGGGCAAATTACTGATCCTCTCAGCAAACTGCAATTTCCTTTTGTGGAATGAAAGGATCATTCTTTTCATACTTTCTGACTGCACAGGTAAAACATACCAGCTCAACTTTATATAAGTTATAAATTGCTACGCGAGTCAAGTATTGTGTTTTACATCAGAAGCACTTAATCAAATCATAATTAAGTTAAGCTGCCTATGTGAAGTAACCACTTAGCTTTGAACTTAATAAGCTAAGTACAAAAAGAAATGTTCCACACTAATTTGAAGCGTCACGCAACCTAAGGACGAGCCAACCCTGGATTCCAGACTATACAAGGATTAGGAGGAAGAGAAACAGATCTCTTGATACTACTTGCAAAATTTACCTTTGGAAAAGAGCAATGTCATAAACCTTCAAGGAGACATAATGAAGAAAAACTTTACCTAGCACCTGCCACCCCAACACCCTAGCACGCTTTCTTCACAATTTCAGTGCAACATACCCACATTCCTCCCAGTGCACACAGCAGTAGTGCTGATGTGCAGACATTACATTCACATACACTAAGTGTTTATTTTAAGCCTTAAGATACACAACTTAATCTTTCATATGCAGCCTTTACAGATTTCGGTGGTATGGGTAAGCTGTCAAATTATAGAAAGCCACAGGGTCTTAATAAGGATCATAGTTGCTGGTAAAACATGGCCCATGGGACCCAGCCTCCTCAGGAAGTTGTCCAGGCCTTGAACCTCCATCAGCCCCCAAGACTGGATATGGTCAGAGAAAGGGGCATCCATAATTCACACTGGCCCACCTGCATCACGAACTCCCTGCGGCGCGGAAGGCCTCGCTCTGTGAGAAGCATGTACTCCGGCTCCTTCTCCTTTTTTGCCTGCTGGATCTGGGCCAGTCTGCTAATCGGATTGATCCCCTGGCCATATTCTGGGGTTGTCTGTGGCTGAGGAGCAAACAAGGAGGAAACTCTGTCATGTTATTCACAGCATGAACTTGGTCAACTCAGAGATCAGGATATGAGAGGAGGTAAGAAATTTTGGGTTGACCTAATGGCTCAGAATTAAATTTTTTTTTTAATTTAACATTTTTAAAATGGAAAGATGCTTTGATTTTCTACAATTGCTATGAGGTGATTTTAAGGTCTTAGCAAACCAACATCAACATTTCACTATAACAAAGCATCACTATGACTGCAACACCTGTTTTTTAACAAATTTCAATATATGACAGTAAATAGGCAGAAAAAACATAAAACACTATTCCTACAACTTCCTGAAAGTCTGAGCTATGATGGGTTCCCAATTTTCTTGAAAAGAACTCAAAATCCAGACACCATTTTTTTTAAAAAGCTCAAGCTGATGCCATATGGCAAGAAGAATCTCAGAATCCCAGTTACTTCCTTTGACTACCTTTTGTGCCAAGGAGCCCTCACCCACTCTGCTGATCAGAAGTGATTTCCAGGCTGTATTAAGCAAAAAAAGGAAACAAAAGGGTATATACAGTATGCTAACTTTTATGTAAGAAAAATCTGTATCTTGATACGGCATGAAATTACGTGTACTGAAAAATCACAAAGTCCCCCATGGAATAATGTCTTTCTGGGGGTGGGGAAGGGGTCAATATAACTCTTTGATTGATGCATTAGTGTGGCTCAAAAATCCAAAAGAAAAGGCACACAGCAAAATGTCTCAGTCCCATCCTGCCCCCATGGGCTTCCTGCCTGGCATATATCTCTTCCACCTTCAGAACAGCACCATGGTCACTGAGACAGAGGCACTGTTATTTTACCACGTGCTCCACAGACACCCACGGCGTTCCGGCCAAATACCGTACTGTGATCACGGGGGCTGTGATGAGTGCCTCCTGTGCAGATGTGTGTGCTCAGCTGCAGGTGCCTCTACTGAATGGACACAGTGTCCTTATCTTACCTAACAGGTGGCTCTTGCAGCACCTCTAAAGGGTCTGCCAGGCCTGGGGGGTGACATGTTGGTCTCATCCCCTTTCACCTCAGGGACAGCAACCAGCCTTCTAAACCCCTCAACCATCTATAGGTCATGAAAACACCTTCTATGTTCAGGAAAGTTCTTACCTTAACTATGGGTTTTGTTTTCTTTTTGATTCTAGGCTTTACTCGTTCAACTGTAGGCAGGGGCGGTAACTTCTTCAGCTCCTCGAGGACAGCTATGGCGGCATTTTTCTTTGAAATCTTCTTGCTTTTCCCTTCACCTTCCCCCACAAACTCCCCAACCGAAACCTTGGTCACAAAGTTCTTCATGTGGGGTGGGCCACTCTCCCGGGCCACCTGTTTCAGAGGGAAAGACTGAGTGAAAGTGGACAGACACTTATTAAAAGCTGCAAGGCACACTGGCTGGCACACTTCACACAGACACAGGAAAGGGGAATCAAGGACAAGGCCTATTAAATGAAAGGAGCATGCATGTCCGCAAAAGGGAGCAGGGATAATTTCAAATGCTTTCTTGCGTTTCTTCTTACTTCTCAAACTGGTTTATACTCTTGAGTCTGGTGAGTCCCAGTCAGGCATGAAAAAGTCCCAAAAAGTCAGGCAGACCTTTTTACTCTCATGCCTGCTGCTTACAAGCTGTCCTGAGTTTAGTGTGGTCCATTGCAACTGGCAAAAAAAAGGAAGCCAGACCAGCAAAGCCCAGAAATGAATGCAGCACAAACAGTTCAAGTTTAATATGTGCTCTGAGCCTACAGCCAGGACTAGGCCTACTACTTACTGGCTGCTATGTGGCTACAAAAAGAGAATGAGACAAATCTCTATGCACTGATAAAGAGGGATTCTCAGCAAACATGAAGTGGAAAAAAAAAAATCAAACTACAAGAGTATATATGGTATGGTGGCTTTAAGAAAAAAGGATTTAATATAAATATCTATATGTAAACACACATATATAAATACGTATTTATATGCTCAGATTTGAAAAAAAACAAAAACAAACAAACAAACAAACAAAAACAGAGGAAGGATAAAGAAAGCAATGGGCCGGGCGTGGTGGCTCACACCTGTAATCCCAGCATTTTGGGAGGCTGAAGCGGGTGGATCACTTGAGGTCAGGAGTTTGAGACCAGCCTGGCCAACATGGTAAAACCTGGTCCCCACTAAAAATACAAAAATTAGCCAGGTGTGGTGGTGCATGCCTGTGATCCCAGCTACTCAGGAGGCTGAGACACAAGGATCCCTTGAACCTGGGAGGCAGAGGTTGTAGTGATCTGAGATCACTACACTGCACTCCAGCCTGGGCAACAGAGTGAGACTCCATCTCAAAAACAAAACAAAACAAAACAAGCAATGAAATTAGTTACCTACAAAAGGTATGAGGTATTGGGGTAGAGAGAAGGGATCAGATGGGAATGATAGTTTTGACTTCTGGAAGCATTTACTATTTTACATATTAAAGAAATAAAACTAAGTCAACAGAGATGAGAAAAGAATCTAAAACATCAACAGAAACCTAGCTGAATATTAAAGTGATTACAATCACATAGATAGAAAATAAAAATTAAATCCAGGCTGGACAGGGTGGCTCATGCCTGTAATCCTAATGCTCTGGGAGGCCAAGGTGGGAGGATCACTTGAGTTCAGAAGTTCAAGACCTCGACTCTACAAAAATAAAAATTAAAAAACTTAGCCAGGTATAGTAGTATGCACCTGTAGTTCTAGCTACATGGGAGGCTGAAGCAGGAAGATTACTTGAGCTCATGAGATCAAGGCTACAGTGAGCTATGATCACACCACTGCACCCCAGCCTGGGCAACAGAGCAACACCTCATCCGAAAAAGTTAAAAAATAAATAAATAAATAACACACACACACACCCCTAAAAAAACCTAACTGACATTAGCCAAGACACTCTTTTTTGGAGGGTGGGGGGAGACAGAGTCTCACTCTGTTGCCCAAGCTGGACACTCTTAAAAAGAAAAAGTTAAAAGACTTAAATTACCAGATTTAAAAACTTCCTATAAAGTCACAACTACAGTATGATTTTATATAAGGATAAACAGATCAACAGAATAGTATGAAACAGACTTGCACATATAAGGTCAATCAATTTATGGCAAACACACCAAAACAAATTAAAAGTCTTTCTTTTTTTTTTTTTGAGGCGGAGTTTCGCTCGTTACCCAGGCTGGAGTACAATGGCGCGATCTTGGCTCACCACAACCTCCACCTCCTGGGTTCAAGCAATTCTCCTGCCTCAGCCTAAGTAGGCTGGGATCACAGGCACGCGCCACCATACCCAGCTAACTTTTTGTATTTTTAGTGGAGAAGGGGTTTCACCATGTTGACCAGGATGGTCTCGATCTCTTGACCTCGTGATCCACCCGCCTGGGCCTCCCAAAGTGCTGGGATTACAGGCTTGAGCCACTGCGCCCGGCTCAAATTAAAAGTCTTTCTTAAAAATATAGTACCAGAGCAACCAGATACCTGCATGGAGTGGGGGGAAAAAGAAAAAAGAAAAAAAAATCAAACCATGATTTCTAACTCACACGACAAACAAAAATTAATTAGATCTAGATCACCTAAATGTGATCTAAACTAAAACTACAAAGGTTTTAGAACAGGAGAAAGCTTCAAGAATGTAAGAACTGGCAAAGAGCTGAAGACAAAAGATACAAACTTCATAAAGAAAAAAGAAATAAATTCCTCAAAATTAAAAATTGCTGGCCAGGGATGGTACCTCACACCTGTAATCCCAGCACTCTGGGAGGCCAAGGTGAACAGATCACCAGAGGTCAGGAGTTCGAGAACAGCCTGGCTGACATGGTAAAACCTGTCTCTACTAAATATACAAAAATTAGCCAGGTATGGTGGCTAATTACACACCTGTAATCCCAGCTACTCATGGGGCTGAGGTAGGAAAATTGCTTGAACTCAGGAGGCAGAGGTTGCTGTGAGCCGAGATCATGCCACTGCACTCTAACCTGGGCAACAAGAGCGAAACTCTGTTTCCAAAAAGCCAAGTTGTATATATTTTTCCAAAAAACTGTACAAATGGCTTCTGTCTTCCCCTATTAAAACATCTAACCTGGGCCGGGTGCGGTGGCTCACGCCTGTAATCTCAGCACTTTGGGAGGCTGAGGCGGGTGGATCACACGGTCAAGAGAATGAGATCATCCTGGTCAACATGGTGAAACCCCGTCTCTACTGAAAATACAAAAAATTAGCTGGGCATGGTGGCACGTGCCTGTAATCCCAGCTACTCAGGAGGCTGAGGCAGGAGAATTGCCTGAAGCCAGGAGGCGGAGGCTGCAGTGAGCCGAGATTGCGCCATTGCACTCCAGCCTGGGTAACAAGAGCAAAACTCCGTCTCACCAAAAAAAAAAAAATCTAACCTGGCTGAACATGGTAGCTCATGCCTGTAATCTCAGCACTTTGAGAAGCCAAGGCAGGCAGATCACCTGAGGTTGGGAGTTTGAGACCAGCGTGACCAATGTAGAGAAACCCTGTATCTACTAAGAATACAAAAAAATTAGCCAGGCGTGGTGGCACATGCCTGTAATCCCAGCTACTCAAGAGGCTGAGGGTGAGCCAAGATTGTGCCATTGCACTCCAGCCTGGGCACCAAGAGTGAAACTCCCTCTCAAGAAAATAAAAAAAGCCTAACCCAGCTTCATATGTGACAGCCATTATTCAATAACTATTTCCTAAACATCTAATACATGCCAGGAAATCTTCCAGCAGCAAGAGAAAAGACAGACCTTGGTCAACATACTAATAGAAGCTAGTAAGAAATTCCTGATACATAAGTTAATGAATGTAAGTACTCATGCCACCAACAACATGCAAGCTGTGATGGTTTAAATTACTTTAAAAGATCACCACGAGAGGGCACTCCTACAATTCTTTTATGTGACTACTGCTAAGATTCCTGAGGGCCAAATCTGAAACCTTAACACAAGCGAAGGTGGGAAGGAAGCAATCTGATCCCAAATCTCATAGAGCAAAAACATAAAATAGCAATCTCTAAGCTTCCAAAAATCTCGGTGACTCGGAGGCAGCAAGTGTGAGCAGGCAGTCAGGAATCCAAGACTCTGGGCCAAGCCATCACCTCTGAATATGAGGTGACCTGGGAAGCCAGCCAGGCATCTATCTCCCACTGCCCAATCTTGGTACCCCTTCCCCCAACTTTAAAAAATCCACTCTCAAGCCAGACTAATCCGTCAACAGGAAGAAAAGCAATACTTCGCCCCTTTTCTGATACAGGTGCCAAGGGAGACTTCGCTACTCCTTGGGATGCAGTTCCCATCTCGTTCCCACTCAAGAACAAGCCCTAACAGCCATTCCGAATGTCCCGTCTGTTCCCTCCAAAAGTGTAACCGAGCCTCCCCTGATGGAAGGAGAAAGGCCAGAGAGGGAATGTAGGACCGATGAGAAGATTCTAGCTCTGGATCCATGTGGGGCTCTGGACTCCAGGAGAACAGTGTAAACCCGCTCTTGCCTGCTGAGGGTGGAGGAGCGGGAACAGGTGTTGAGGGAAGGGAGAGGAATAAACAAGATCTCCCACCCAGGTGGACAACAGGAGGCGGCCCTGGGAACTCCCATCCCACCTCTGGCCCAGAGCAGGCAGGGAAGCATCAGCAGGGTGAAAGATGGAGGACTGAAGCTGGGTAAGTTTAGGGTGCTAACACACAGCAGGAGAAGGTATACATTAATATTTTATGATAGGCATGAAATGTGTGGGTCACCTATAACTGTAAAAAAAATACTTCAAAATTATTTTACAGGGGCCGGGCGCGGTGGCTCAAGCCTGTAATCCCAGCACTTTGGGAGGCCGAGGTGGGTGGATCACGAGGTCAAGAGATCGAGACCATCCTGGTCAACATGGTGAAACCCCGTCTCTACTAAAAATACAAAAAATTAGCTGGACATGGTGGCGCGTGCCTGTAATCCCAGCTACTCAGGAGGCTGAGGCAGGAGAATTGCTTGAACCCAGGAGGCGGGGGTTGTGGTGAGCCGAGATTGCGCCATTGCACTCCAGCCTGGGTAACAAGAGTGAAACTCCATCTCAAAACAAAAAATAAAAAAAAATTATTTTGCCGGGCGCGGTGGCTCAAGCCTGTAATCCCAGCACTTTGGGAGGCTGAGGCGGGCGGATCACGAGGTCAAGAGATTGAGACCATCCTGGTCAACATGGTGAAACCCCGTCTCTACTAAAATTACAAAAAATTAGCTGGGCATCGTGGCGCATGCCTGTAATCCCAGCTACTCAGGAGGCTGAGGCAGGAGAATTGCCTGAACCCAGGAGGCGGAGGTTGCGGTGAGCCAAGATCTCACCATTGCACTCCAGCCTGGGTAACAAGAGCGAAAACTCTGTCTCAAAAAAAAAAAAAAAAAAAAAAAAAAAAAAATTATTTTACAGGAATATAAGCTTCAGATAGGCTTTTTAAGAAAAGAAATAAGCCATAATCAAGCACGTAAATCAAAAGAATCTGCAAAGAATCTGCCATGGGTCAGATCTTATTTCTAAGGGAAACTTTAAAAATCCTCCCTTACCATTTGGATGGACTATATTGTCTTTTAAGGCAACATATATTAAAATGTTCCTTATTTCCCACTTTGAGCAGACAACTCATTGATTATTGTTTTTAGAACACAAGGCTCAACAACAAATGAAGTTATTAAACATGAATTGAGGGCAGACGCTAGACAATGACAAAAACTGTGTCCTTTCCAAAATTACTCTGAAGAGATCTTTAGGGGCCACAATGCTTTTGAGACTGATCTAAGTGATGAACTAGCCACTCCCTGTCCAGAAGAACACACATGTAAACACTAACACAACCACCTTCCGACCACTTCTGGAGGTCTACACACCAATTAAAGTGATTATGAACTGTCTACACATCCAATGCCCCTTAGTTAGGGACTCCTAGAAGAGAATAAACACTGCTTCATTTGGAGGTTCACATTACGTGAATATTATTCCAATGTTAGGAAAAAAAAATCACTCATGATGAATGCTAACAGGACTGTATAATACAAAGTCCTACATGTAAAATTAGCTTACCTCAAAATTCACAGGCAAGTTCCGTTTAAGTGCAATCTCAAACACTTGACTTATTTCAGATTTATTGAGATTTTCTTCTTCTGATTCTCTTCCATTCACCTATAAGAATAATTGTTTAGTAGTTAACTCTTAAAATCATCAATAGCCAGGTGAGGTGGTTCACACTTATAGTCCCAGCACTTCAGGAGGCCAAGGCAGGACAGCTTGAGCACAGGAGTTTGAGACCAGCCTGAGCAACCTTGTCTCAAAAACAAAAACAAAAAAGCAAAAATTAGGTGGGTGTAGTGGTGGCACACATCTGCATTTTTTTTTTTGGAGGATTGAGGCAGGATGATTGCTTGAGCCCAGGAGGCTGAGACTTCGGTAAGCCATGATCACACCACTGTACTACCGGCCTGGGTGTCAGAGCGAGACCTTGTCCCCACCCAAAAAATACCCATCAACATCCTAACCTGCAATGGTAAACCTTAAAATGACTGAGCCTTGGCTTTATGAATTTCACCAAGGCCACACATATACCAAGTGTCACTGAATTTACAGGTTAAAATTTTATATATATATATATATATATATATATATATATATATATATATATATCTCCTGTCAAGTTTGAGCAAATCATACCTCGTAAGTTCACCATAAACAATCCACAAATAACAGACCTTTGGGTATGAATCAGCCTAATTGTGGTTCAGCAACATGTCATTCCTGCTTGGAACGGTGACTTCCAAAAGTCCTCCTCAAGTGGTAGGAAGCCACATTTTGGAAAAGTCAAAATACAGACAGATATGTGTGGGACATGGCAAATTCAGATGTAAGTCTGTCCACCTGAGTATGCAGGCTTCTTATCTGAACATAAATTCCCTGGACACTACTTTTTTTTTTTTTGAGACCAAGTCTCACTCTGTCACCCAGGCTGGAATGCAGTGGTGCGATCTCAGCTCACAGCAACCTCCACCTCCCATGTATAAGCAATTCTCCTGCCTCAGTCTCCCAAGTATTTGGGATTGCAGGTATGCACCAGCATACCGGCTAATTTTTGTATTTTAGTAGAGACAGGGTTTTACCATGTTGGTCAGGCCAGTCCCGAACTCCTGACCTCATCATCCTCCCACCTGGCCTCCGAAAGTGCTGGGATTACAGGCGTGAGCCACTGTGCCTGGCAGGAATCCACTTTTTAGAGAATGCAGGCCAGCTGCAGTGGCTCGCACCTGTAATCCCAGCTCCCAGCACTTGGGGAGGCCAAGGGGGCAAAACTGCCTGAGCTCAGCGGTTCACAACTTGCGTGGGCAACACGGTGAAACCCCATCTCTACTAAAATACAAAAAATTAGTCAGGCATGGCAGCATGTGCTTGTAATCCCAGCAACTCAGGAGGCTAAGGCAGGAGAACTGCTTGAACCCAGGAGGCGGAGGTTGCAGTGAGCCTAGATCGCGCTACTGCACTCCAGCCTGGGCAACAGAGCAAGACCCCGTCTAAAAAACAAAAAAACAAAAACAGAGAATGCAGCCAGGAGGCACGGCAGTGCACGACTGTTGCCCCATTTCTCAGGAAGCTGACAGGTGAGGATCAGCTGAGCACAGTAGTTCAAGGCTACAGTGAGCTGTGATCATGCCTGTAAACAGCCACTGAACTCTAGCCTAGGTGACAAAGAGACTCTTATAATTAAAAATGAATAAATAAATAAGAATGCGGTGAAATAAACTACAAAACTGCCACGTATCTCATACTCACTACTGCTGGCATAAATACAATGCACAAACTAATAAAGTCTCCTCAACAAAGGCAGAGATTCTATCTTTGAAAGAAGTTTCTCTTAGAGTCTTCTAATCAGGGATGGGATTAAAGAGGAGCAGGGATCTTACTTCTGTGTGCTGATAACATGGATTTTATACTGTGTTGTAGTGATAATAAGAGGAACTAGATAAGCTCAAAGCTTATCTAGCAAAGCCCCCCAAAACACAGCAAAAGAGCTTTCTTCACATTTTTGCTTACTTTGTCAAAGAATTTATAAAGTCCTGCTTCTAAGATTAGAATTATCTGAACAGGAACCCATGGCTAAAACTACTAAATAGGCAAGGTGTAGGACTATCCAAGATTTTATCTGTTGTGCATTTCCTTGTGTTTATCAGGTATATTCCATCTACACTCAATTTTTTTTTTTTTTTTTGAGATGGAGTTTCGCTCTTGTGTCACCCAGGCTGGAGTGCAATGGCACAATTTTGATCACTACAACCTCCACCTCCTGGGTTTAGCTGGGATTACAGGCACCCACCACCACATCTGGCTAAATTTTTTAAAATTTTTATTTCTATTTTTAGTAGAGACAGGGTTTCACCATCTTGGCCAGGCTGGTCTCAAACTTCTGACTTCAGGTGATCTGTCCACCTTGGCCTCCCAAAGTGCTGAGATTACAGGCATGAGCCACCAGTTCTGGCCACCGAACTAATATTAAAAGTTGTAATTGGTGGGGCAGGTTGGCTCGCACCTGTGATCCCAAAACTTCTGGAGGACAAGGTGGGCAGACTGCTTAAGCCCAGGAGAGTTCAAGACTAGCCTGGGCAACATGGCGAATCCCTGTCACCATAAAAAACCATTAGCCAGGTGTGGTGTTGCACGTCTGTGGTTCCAGCAACTCAGGAGGGTTGAGGTGGGAGGATCACCTGAGCCTAGGGTGTTGAGGCTGAGGTGAGCTGTGATCACGCCACTGCATTCTAGCCTCAGTGACAGAGTGAGACTGGACACACACACGTGTCCACACACACACACAGAGAAAGAGAGAGAGAGAAAGAGAGAGAGAAGCTATTATCCAGGTTAAAAAAACAACAACAACAACAATATAACCAAGGGTATAATCCTGGACAAATAAATTTATTCCAGATGCTATTAGTAATTCCTTCTATCCTTCCATAATCTTTTCTTTCCAATCTGGTTTCAATGTATCTCATCTTAGTCAAAACTATTTTCATAGCACTTCCGGTGGTTAACATAACGCACACTTGTATATATATATTTTTGAGACAGTGTCTCACTGTTGCCCAGTCTGAAGTGCAGTAGTGCCATCATAGCTTACTGCAGCCTCGAACTCCTGACCTCAAGCAATCTTCCCATCTCACCCTCCCAAGTAACCGGGATTACTGGCATGAGCCATGACTCTCAGCTTTTTCTTTTTTTTTTTTTTTTTTTTTTTTTTTGGGACAAAGTCTCTCTCTTGTTGCCCAAACTGGAGTGCAATGGTGTGATCTCTACTCACTGCAACCTCGGCCTTCCAGGTTCAAGTGATTCTCCTGCCTCAGCCTTCTGAGTAGCTAGGATAACAGGCGCCTGCCACCATGCATGGCCAATTATTTTGCATTTTTAGTAGAGACAGAGTCTTCCTTTGTCTCCCAGACTGGAGTGCAGTGGCACAATTTCGGCTCACTGCAGCCTCCACCTCCCGGGTTCAAGTGATTCTCCTGTCACAGCCTCCCGAGTAGCTGGGCTCCCGACTAATTTTTGTATTTTTAATAGAGATGGGGTTTTACCATGTTAGTCAGGCTGGTCTCAAACTCCTGACCTTGTGATCCGCCCACCATGGCCTCCCAAAATGCTAGGATTACAGGCGTGAGCCACTGCGCCCAGCCAAAGACAGAGTTTCAACATGTTGGCCAGGCTGGTCTTGAACTCCTGACCTCAGGCGATCCACCTACCTCGGCCTCCTAAAGTGCTGAGATTAAAGGTGTGAGCCACTCCGCCTGGTCTCCAGCTGTTTTTGTTTTTTTTTAATGTTTTGTAGAGATGGGGTCTCACTATGTTGTCCAGGCTGGTCTTGAACTCCTAGACTCAAGTGACCTTCCCACCTCAACCTCCCAAAGTGTTGGGATTATAGGTGTGAGCCACCATACCCAAACAACACTTGTATTTTTGTTGTTTAAATTCTAAGCAGAAAAAGGGTCTGCTTTTTTATGACTGAATCCTTAAAACCAAAAATTTTCAAGCAAGGTGCCTTAAAGGCTGAGGTTCTACAGAGTTTTGGCTTGAAATTTAACAATCTAATAGTTAAATACATTTTAAGCTAAAATAGTAATAATAATAATAATAATAATACTGTAAGCTTGTTCAACAGATGGTACTGGGAAAACTAGATACCCACATGCAAAACTAGTAAGGTAGGACCCTTACCCCACACCACAAGAAACTCAGAATGGATCAAATACTTAAACATAAGGGCTAAAACAGTAAAGCTCTTAGATAAAAACACAGGAGCAGTGTCATGACACTGTATTTGGTGATGATTTCTTAGATATGACAGGAAAACCACAGACAACAAAAGAAACAGATTAATTATATTAGAATTCATCAAAATTTAAAACAGTCATATATCAAAGGACACTATTAAGAGAGTGAAGGCAACCCAGAAAAGGGGATTTGTAAATCGTTTATCTGATAAGGGATTAATACATCCAGAATATATAAAGAACTACAACTCAACAATAAAACAACCCAGGCTGGGCGTGGTGGCTCACGCCTATAATCCCAGCACTTTGGAATACCAAGGGAAGAGGATCACCTGATGTTAGGAGATCAAGACCAGCTTCTGGTCAACATGTAAAAAACAAAAAATTAGGCCCACAGTGGTGGCAGGCACCTGTTATTCTAGCTACTCAGGAGGCTGAGGCAGGAGAATGGCTTGAACTTGGGAGGTAGAGGCTGCAGTGAGCCGAGATCACACCACTGCACTCCAGCCTGGGGGACACAGTGAGACCATTACTCAAGAAAAAAAAGAAAAAGAAAAAATACAATCAACAAGCAAATGAAAAACTGCTCAACACTACTATCACTAGGCAAATCAAAACCACAGTAAGGGCCAGGCACAGGGGCTCATGACTGTAATCCAAGCTACTCCGGACGCTCACACAGGAACATCACTTGAACCTGAGAGGCAGAGGTTGCAGTGAGCCGAGATGGTGCCACTGCACTCCAGCTTGGGCAACAAGAGGGGAAATCCTGCCTTAAAAAAAAAATGCCAGGCACTATGGCTCACACTTGTAATCCTAGCACTTTGGGAGGCTGAAGCAGGTGATCACTTGAAGTCAGAAGTTCATAACCAGCCTGGACAA